TGATTTTATTTCCTTAGATAGATTTACATGTACACTTACAAATAGCTCTTATTCTTGGAATAATAGAACAAGGAAATTGGTCCATTGTCTCTATATTTTACATCCACAAAATATATTAATCTTTTTTTTGTTACTAGGAAATGCACACATTGACCATAGCTAGTTTAAATTAGGAACTTCGTTAAGAGTATTCAAGATTTAATACATACAAAATCACGTACCTGTAAAGTTATTCCATCCAATAAACAATTCTTGAACCTTTGACATGTTCCACATGTCTCTTGGTAAATTTCCTATCAAATATAACACCACATACACAAAAAGGATATTGATTAATTCAAGAAGAAATTACTAGTAAAATTAGTAAATGAAAAGTTTACAAGTTAGTTAATTACCTGTGAATTTGTTATAAGACAAGGACAGAACTTCAAGTTTGGTGCATTTATTTAAACCTTTAGGAAGTTCACCCACAAATTGATTATATTGCAGGGATATATATTCCAACACTGGCAGATTAGTGCATATCTCATTTGGCAAACTCCCAGTTAACTCATAATTCCGAGACAAATCAATGTCCTTTAAAGAAGACAAACTGAAAATGGACAATGGAACATTTCCAAATAGACGATTTTTAGAAAGATGAAGAACTTGAAGCCTTGTAAGAAATCCAAGGCTTAGTGGGATTTGACCAGTGAGATTATTCATTTGCAAATACAAGTATTTTAAACGCCTCAGACGCCCTATTTCATCGGGGATTTGGCCATAGAAACTGTTGTTTCCAATGTCCAAAGAGTTAAGGAAGGAGAGGTTCCCAATATCTGTTGCGATTGAACCTCTAAATCCAAAGCTTTTGAGGACTAATGATGTCACTCTTTGATGCTTTTTACTGCAAGATATGCCTATCCAATTGCAAATGTGAGTTCCTTTTGTCCAGTTTTTTGACAACATTTCATTGGGCTCTGAAGTTATATGAGCTTTGAAAGATAAAAGAGCAGCCTCATCAGTTGTAATGTTCGATGCATTAGTAACTGAGAGGTACGTTAACAAAACTAGGAATGCTATTATCATAGTCCTCGCAACCATTTTGATTTGTTCAACTTCTTTAGCAGCTATTTGTGCCTAAGTATTCGTTTTCAAACACATCTATATATACTGTGTGTATACTTCTAATTGCTTCAACACTTATCTAATTAATACCAATGATTAACATATATACGTAATATGTTTGAATGATTTTTTAATTCTTTTTGTATATTGCTAGCTGAACTTGACTGCAATTCATTGCTAAAGGGAAACCATTGGTTGTGGAATTCTGTATTGATAGTTAAATAGTTTACTTGACATTTTTTATGTAGTTTTAGGCTATAGTATAATGTCATCATTCGAATGTATATATATAACCTCCCCAGTATAGATGCTTGACAAAAGAATGTCAACTGTTACGGTCAAATTAATGAATCTAACATGTAATGTGTATTCAATAGCTTTTATTCAGATATTTTATATATATGTGCATGTTAAGGAATTCAATCAATAATTATCTACGGATCTAAATGTGAATCCAGTTATTATTGTAGATTAACTTGAGGTCGGTATAAAATTCATAAACTTCAAAATAGATGCCATTCCGATCCCTACATCCTGAGAAAGAACTTCCACTTGGATTAATTTTAAGTCTCGAGTTCTTGTTTAACATTTTCTTATATGAAGTTGGAACGAAAACTTCAATGCAATTAATTCAAATTAACAAGTAGTCGTGATGACATAACAAATATCTGGAGGATAAAACAAAAATCATTTATTTCCGAGTTTTCTTTGCCGATAGACCAATCAATAGTGTTCTATTAAAAATAAGACTGGTCGTTGGGGGACACTCTGTAATCCCTAAAACAGATTCCTCATATTATTTATTTAATGATGAGATATTATTTATTCTCTTTTTTTTTTGTATGTTGCTGGACTTGACTGCAATTCATTGCTAAAGGAAAACTATAGTGGTTGTGGAATTCTACAGTGATAGTCAAATAATTTACAATTTTAATCGGCAAATCTAATAGGCAATGTGTGGTTTATGTGAATCCAATAATTTTTATCGAGACCTTTTATATGTATTAGAGAATTCATTAAAGATCTATAAATATTTAGTTGTGAACTCAAATATTAATTTGAGATGGATGTAAGAATTCATAAATTTCAAATCTTGACCGGAGCTCGCATGTTACTCAATATGAAAAAAAATTATGTAATCACAAATTAACTTGCATTAGTAAATTGCATGACATCGCTGTACATGAGGCAGAATCATTCTTGTGAAAGCAATATTTCGATATACTTTCATCATTTAAAATAAAATAAAATTGTAGACATTGATTTCTCGTATTTTCTCAAAAAAGTGATTCTATTAAGGGAATTTGGTATGAGAACGATGATCTCGATGAGATTGATAATCCATCCAATCTTTCTTCTAAGAACATATTGATTTGACCCCATAAGCGGGGTCGCGAGTGAGGAAGAAGATATGAATGAAAAATGTTGAATATGTTTTTGGTTAAAAAATAAAATATGCATATCCTTAAATAAAATGGCCATGATGTATCACAGTATGTGATCACCTAATATAAAGATAAATTTTGAAGGTGCATTTGATCTAATTTTTAGTTTGTATGTGTAAGCCTTTAACCTTATTAGTTGATTATTTATATGTTAAAACATCGATTAACTTGTACTCTATTATATAAAATAAATCATTTGAAGAGGTCGTTTTTCTCATTTTGGTGCATGTCACAAAAAATGTGATATAATAAAGATGGATGTTTGTTAACTCAACATTAAATATTTTTAACAATGATTATATTTCACAAAAAATGCAAGTTGCATAAATAGAAGGAGGAATTTAAAAAATGATATCATCGGACTCTCAATAACGACAAATCAACGATCAAAGTTGCTTACGATTCGGGTATTCACGAAACCGGTACCTTTTGGTTTGGTTTGATTATAATTTTTTTAACTTTACAAAATTGACAAAAATTGATTTGATTTTAGTTTTAAGCGGAAAAAAGAGAGAGAACCAAACTGGCTATATAATGCCATGTTTAGACATGTAATATGAAATTATGATCCAAAATAAAATAGATATGAAGTTAAAATTTTGTATGGACATGTAATTTGAACTTTTTAAGTTGCATTTTTATTTTTCATAAACCTGAAAACACACAAATTGTGAAAATTAGCAAAATTTCTTAATTTTTTATTCAAGTTTACTATAAATGAGCAAATTATAGTTCATATCAAAATATCTTAAGATGTTGCATTGATAAATCACATTAGGGGTGTACAAAATCGAGCCGAAAACCGAATCAAATTGCAAACCGAGTCAAATCAAGAAAGAAACCCGACTAGTGGTTGATTTGACTTGGTTTGGTATTGAAAAAAAAACCCGATTATATTTGGGTTGGTTTGGTTTTAACTAAAAAAAACCAACTCGAGACCAAACCAACCCGACATTATATATATAATTTTAAAATTTTATTTTATACATAAAAATATTTACTTTGATATGATTTTTAAATATTTCTTATACTTTTTCATAGTTTTTATCTTTTAATATATTATTTCAAGTTTGAAACTTAAAATTCTGAATGGTTCAATAAAGATTATAGTCTACAGATGTTGGTAATTATAATAAAGCTTAAATCAAAATCAAATTAATAATAATGCAAAAAGAAAATCAATTCAACACTAAGAATGACAATAATATTGAATATTTGTTCTTTGGTTTTACATTTGTTTAGACAATTCAAATACATAATCTAATTTTAATTTCCTTTAATATTTAGTCATGTAACTAATACTTATTAAACTTATTTTAGCATGATTTAGTACTTTTAAATTATGATCATTTTCATTATGACTTGTTAATTTGCAATATTTGTTTTACGCGATTTCATTATTATTTTTTTTTGTTGGATATTTTAGTGTCATTACTCATATCATATTGTGTTATTTTCTTAAGAAACACCTTAGATAGTTGTATTTTGGTAGGACTAAATAAATATTTGAAGTACAAGTAAATTATATGTTTGTATGAATACTTTACCGAAAAAACCCGAGGTTGAAAAACCCGAGTTTTATTGGTTTGGTTTGGTTTATAGATTTAAAAATTTGACACAAATGGTTTGATTTGATATTTGAAAAACTTGAACCAACCCGATCATGTACACCCCTAAATCACATATCTCCATATTTCTTTTATAAATAATTATTTATGTTTACAAACTTTCAAATACACATAATTTAATATTGATTCACTAGTCAATAATAGTAGTAACTAGTTATTCTTTAAACTTCTATGACCCTTTCACATGATATGGAACAATCTTCACGCCAAGCATGACTTTTTTTTTGCAAAATTAAAAATGATAGATCCTCAATTTCACCAAATCAAAACATGACCAACACGATCCAAACTCAATTTTTAGGTTAGTAGATGAATAGTTTACTTCTAAAGAGATGCTTCAAACCAGTCATGAAATTAGGTCTTGAATGCACAAATGACTAAATATTTTCCTTCATACCAAACACATCCAAAATGGAAAAAAGTGAATAATTCTCATGGTCAAACAGCTCGAGTAATTTGCAAGAAAGTTAAATAATTGCTCCAATTCTCAAAGCAACTTATATTCCTTTCCAAACAACAAGGTTTTCCAAATTTGCTTTCTAATATTCTGAGGCATCACCTGTGGCGTAGCTACATGGTGGTCAGTTGGACACCCCTCATCGAAAAAAATACCATATATACAAGTACAATGATGCACGAAATGATTAAATAACATATTTTGAACACTTTTAAACAACAAGTTGTTGTAGCCTAGTGATTTTAGATGCTTGGAATGAGATATTGCTCATGTGTTCGAAACAAACATATTCAAATACATGTGGAGTACATTGCTGCAGAAAGCAGTCTTGTGATTCAGTAGAAGAATTTGGCATACAGATTATAAAGTGAAAGCAAAGTACTCTCTGTTACACGAAAAGTATATATACATTCTCCCATTAATGTATTTATTACAAGTAATTCATGAAACACAAAGCAGTAAATTTGAACTCATTGTTTACTCATCAACTTTAATTTGTACAATTCCACTCTAAACATATGGCAGAAGCTTTCCTTCAAATTCTGATTGACAATATCACTTCTTTCCTTGAAGGGGAACTTTCATTGCTTTTCGGTTTTGAAAATGAGTTTGAAAATCTTTCGAGCAGGTTTTCTACAATCCAAGCCGTGCTTGAAGATGCTCAGATGAAGCAACTCAAAGACAAGGCGATTAAAAACTGGGTACAGAAACTCAATGCTGCTGCATATAAAGTTGATGACATATTGGATGAATGTAAATATGAGGCAACAAAACTCAATGCTGCTGCATATAAAGAGATGATGGAGAAACTAGATGCAATTGCTAAGGAAAGAACGGATTTTCATTTACATGAAAAGTTAATAGAGAAACAAGCTGCTAGGCGGGAAACAGGTACTCATCTTAAATTAGTATTACAACAAACTTTGTTTATATATTCATTTTCGGCAATTATCAGATTCAGGTCTGTTTTTGGGGTGAGGGAATGTTTCAAAGATTTTCCCTAAATATTTGTCTCAAGTGTCTAACCCTTCACTATCTTTGATGATAGACATATAACTTATTTTCTGTTTATAGAGTTTGTGCCCTTTTTCTTAAAGTTCTTAAAAAGATTGTAGAAGAACTTTACGCGCCACTACTCGATATATAGTCTAGGCATCAACTGTGGACATTACTGGCATAAGGATGAAATCGTCATCCTCCTTTTGTCTTCTAGACAAAAGGTGAAAAGAAATGATTTATCAACAGGTTGAGTCTAGCCAAACCCTCCACCATTCATGGTAGTATTAATTAAAAAAACAAAATCTGACCGGTCGTCAATTTGAAAATGACAAAAATTGTGATTACAATACAGTATAAGTACGTACTTGATGATTTCTTGAAAGCAATTTCACCAATAAGAAAATCTAGGAAATGCTCGAGTATTTATCACTTTTGAAAATGACGGCAACAAATTAAAAATAATTTATTTTAGTTACTTGTTCATATCAAATTCTGAAAATGATTGCAGAAGAAATAGAGAAACTTCAAAATATGTTTTAGGACTTTTTGCCAGGTGGAACTCAGCATGATTTTCTCATGTCTCCTGCTCCTCAAGCTCATCTATATCTCTTTAAGGCGTGCATCTATTATTCTCTATTTTCTGCCGACCCCTAATGATCTTGAATGTAACAATATTCTCGTGTGGACATTGCTTGGACCAGGTTCTATTTTAACTGAACCACAAGTTTATGGAAGGGACAAAGAGGAAGATGAGATAGTGAAAATCCTGATAAACTATGTTAGTGATGCCCAAGAACTTTCAGTCCTCCCAATAGTTGGTATGGGGGGACTAGGAAAGACTACTCTTGCCCAAATGGTCTTCAATGATCAGAGAGTGATTCAGCATTTCGATCCCAAAATATGGGTTTGTGTCTCGGACAATTTTGAAGAGAAGAGGTTGATAAAGGCAATTGTAGAATCTGCTGAAGGAAGGCCACTACTTGGTGACATGGACTTGGCTCCACTTCAAAAGAAGCTTCAGGAGTTGCTGAATGGAAAAAGATACTTACTCGTCTTAGATGATGTTTGGAATGAAGATCGAGAGAAGTGGGCTAATTTAAGAGCAGTCTTGAAGGTTGGAGCAAGTGGTGCTTCTGTTCTAACCACTACTCGTCTTGAAAAGGTTGGATCAATTATGGGATCATTGCAACCATATGAATTGTCAAATTTGTCTCAAGAAAATTGTTGGTTGTTGTTCATGCAACGTGCATTGGGACACCAAGAAGAAATAAATCCTAACCTTGTGGTTATCGGAAAGGAGATAGTGAAAAAATGTGGTGGTGTGCCTCTAGCAGCCAAGACTCTGGGAGGTATTTTGCGATTCAAGAGAGAAGAAAGAGAATGGGAACATGTGAGAGATAGTGAGATTTGGAAGTTGCCTCAAGATGAAAGTTCTATTCTGCCTGCCCTGCGACTTAGTTACCATCACCTTCCACTTGATTTGAGACAATGCTTTACATATTGTGCAGTATTCCCAAAGGATACCGAAATGGAAAAGGAAAATCTAATCTCTCTCTGGATGGCACATGGTTTTCTTTTATCGAAAGGAAACTTGGAGCTAGAGTATGTAGGTAATGAAGCATGGAATGAATTATACTTGAGGTCTTTCTTCCAAGAGATTGAAGTAAAATCTGGTAATACTTATTTCAAGATGCATGATCTCATACATGATTTGGCAACATCTCTGTTTTCGGCAAGCACATCAAGCAGCAATATCCGCCAAGTAAGTGTAGAATATTACCCATATATGATGTCCATTGGTTTTGCTGAAATCGTGTCTCCTTACTCTCCTTCTCTCTTGCAAAATTTTGTCTCGTTGAGGGTCCTTAATCTAAGTTACATAGAACTTGAGCAGCTACCGTCTTCCATTGGAGATCTTGTACATTTAAGATACCTAAACGCGTCTAGCAATCTTAGAATTCGTAGTCTTCCAAAGCAGTTATGCAAGCTTCAAAATCTGCAGACTCTTGATCTATATAATTGCCATTCACTTTGTTGTTTGCCAAAAAGAACAAGTAAACTTGGCAATCTCCGAAATCTTTTACTTGATGATTGCCTTGGATTGACTTGTATGCCACCAAGGATAGGGTCTTTGACATGCCTTAAGACTCTAACTTACTTTGTTGTGGGAAGGAAGAAAGGTTATCAACTTGGTGAACTACGAAACCTGGATCTCCATGGCTCAATTTCAATCACACACCTTGAGAGAGTGAAGAAGGATACAGAGGCAAAAGAGGCCAACTTATCTGCAAAAGAAAATCTGCACTCTTTAAGGATGAGTTGGTATAAATATGGACCATATTGTTTACTTGAATCAGATGTGCTTGAAGCCCTCAAACCACGTAGATATGAATCAGAAGAAGTTAAAGTTCTTGAAGCCCTCAAACCACACCCCAATCTGACTTCTTTAACAATCATTGGCTTCAGAGGATTCCGTCTCCCAGACTGGATGAATCACTCAGTTTTGAAAAGAGTCGTCTCTATTATAATTGAAGGTTGCGAGAACTGCTCATGCTTATCACCCTTGGGTGATTTGCCTTGTCTAGAGAGCCTAGTGTTAGCAAATGGGTCTGGGGAGGTGGAGTATGTTGAAGAGGATGATGTCTCCACAAGAAGATGGTTTCCATCCCTGAGAAAACTTAGTATATGTAACTTCCGTAATCTGAAAGGATTGCTGAAAAAGGGAGGAGAAGAGCAATTCCCTGTGCTTGAAGAGATGAATACTGATAATTGCCCTATGTTTGTTTGTCCGACCCTTTCTTCTGTCAGGAAATTGGAAATTTTTGGGGAGGCAGATGCAACAAGTTTGAACTCCATATCCAATCTTTGCGCTCTTACTTTCCTCCACATTAGCAGTATCATCAAAGCCACTTCCCTCCCAGAAGAGATGTTGAAAAGCCTTGCGAATCTCAAATACTTGAAAATCTCCGGCCTCTGCAATCTCAAAGAGCTGCCTAGCAGCCTGGCTAGTCTCAATGCTTTGAAGAGTCTGGATATTGAAAGTTGTTATGCACTAGAGAGTCTCCCCGAGGAAGGAGTGAAAGGTTTGACTTCACTCACAGAGTTACCTATTTTTTGCTGTGAGATGCTAAAATGTTTACCGGAGGGATTGCAGCACCTAACAACCCTCACAAGTTTAAGCATTAGTCGCAGTCCAACACTGGAAAAGCAGTGTGAAAAGGAAATAGGAGAAGACTGGCACAAAATTGCTCACATTCCTAATCTGAAACTATATGAGTGAGTTATTTGTAATTATTTCTCTGTTTGTGAGTCTCTCTAGTTCCTGCCATGGGTTGTAAATTTCTGGGTTTTTTTTTGGAAACATATTAACGATTTGTAAGATCCTTTTGTAATATAGCTACTTGTTAATGTTGTAATTATTGGCCAACAACTGTTGATTACCACTCTCTGAACGCTGAATAAAAAACTATTCATGTTATTGTTTACATTAAGGGCATGTTTGGAAATCCACTCTGGTAATTGGATTTTGTGTAATTGAGTGTAATTACATTGTCTATCTCCTTTGGTTGGACATGTAATTACCTGGTTAGCAGGTAATTGGGTGTAATTACACTCTCCAATTCACATGGGAGGCTGTGAATTGCGGGTAATTACTTGGTGTAATTACAAGCTGATTATTTTTTAACTTCTTCCTTTTATTTTTGTTCGTTTTAATATATTTTTTATTTTTATTATTTTAAATTCTTTTTTATTTTTATTAATCTAATATTTATATTTCATTTCCTTCTTATTCTTAACTTTTACTTTGTAACATCCGGCAATTTGAAATAACTATGAAGAAGCTTAAAAATTGGAAATAGTCATTTTTGGAAAGAATTAAATATCTGGAAAATTTTGGTTAAATATGGGAAAAAGTGAGTTTTTGTCCAACTTTAAACAGTCATAACTCCTAACTCAAGATGATTTAGGTGTATTTCCAGTTATGTTTGCAAAGTTTGTGGAATGATCTTTCCAACGCCGTCAAGTTTGCTCGATTCTGAGTTTGTATGAGGGAGTTAAGCCCTTTGGAAGTTGGGCTGTTGGCAGGGCAGTTTACCCGAAATTTGTAAGGGTATTTTGGTCTTTTCCATAGCCTTTTCTTTTGGATATATACTAAGGTTTTAGACTGATCTTAAATCAGTTTTTCCTTTTTAAAGCGAGAGTTAGGGTTCTTGATAGAAAAGGAGAGAAGAGGAGAAAGGAGAAGAAGAAGCAAACTTCGTAGAGATCGTCGGGGGTGATCCCTAATAAGGTATGTGAGTTCATAGTGTTGGGTTGGTTCTTTCCCCCACACGCCAAACTCGTTTTAATTCCGAGAAAATATTTGGTTGTGTTTGTTGAAGTTGTTGGTTGTGTTTGTTGAAGTTGTTGGTTGTGTTGTTGAAGTTCCTTGTTGTCTTGGTACATGTTTCCGGTGGTGTTTGTGAGTTGAAATCTATTGTATGTTGAGGGTTTTGATGATTCTAAGTGTTTGGGGGAAGAATCTTTGTTGTTGAAAGGCTTTAGAGTTGGAGAAACTAAGGAGAAAAGTTGGTTGTGGGGCGTCGCGCCCCAAAAGGGGCTTTGAACTTTCCCCCTTGGGGCGGCGCGCCTAGCAGAGCGCCAACAGGCCCCCTCTCAGAGCGCCAAGAGCGACAAGTTTCCCCATTCCTTCCCCACTTTTTCATACATGTTCCTTGGTAATGTACCTATGTTTTATAGTTGTTTTCGACACTCTAAGGTACGTCTAAACGTCAAGAACTCATCTATAACATGCGATCAAACACCTTGAATCCATAAATCCAATTCAAGGAGAGTTAGTTTCCAAGTCAAGTGAAGTTAAGAGTTAAGCTTGGAAGTTAAGAAGCAAGTCAAGCAAGTTTTTAAAGTTGTTCAAGAGTCTTTATTGAACATTTTAACTTCATTTTAAGACTCAAGTTTCAAGTCAAGTAAAGTGTCACGCCCCGAGCTACCCCCAAGACGCGGACACGGGACCTAGGACCACAAATGATCCCAAGCTAACCCTGCTGGCATGATCATGAGCATACTAAAGATAGTAAACTGATGCGGAAGCTAATTCATAAATAAATCTGAAAAGATGGGGAATACCCATATACTATAACTGAATATATCAAATCTGAGAGTTTAATACAAAAGAAATATCAAACTCAAAACACTAAGCTGAATCTAACTATGTCTGAAATAAGCCTCTAAACTGACTAGAAATGTTGGGACATGCCCCAACTAGATCTAGCAAAACTGAAACTAAAGACTAAAAGCGATAAAGATAAATATGTCACTAGTCCTCGAAGAATGAGGACTCACCACTGATGCTGCTGAACTGAAGATCGAGAACCGATCTAAGCGTGATCTGGATACTGAGAACCTGAACCTACATCACGAGAAGATGTAGCGCACGTATGCGTCAGTACTTGAAAGGTACTGAGCATGCATGATAGAGTAAAGCTGAAATAACATATAACTGAACAAAGCAATAAAGCAATGAAATCATCTGAGCATGATATAGATACTGAAATACTGAATACTGAGCTAACTGATGCAATGACCAATTTATAACATGCTGACTGAATACTGAATGAACTGTAAATGTGGTCAATGCAATAGAGTCTGACTGAACTGTGGGAGCTACTAATAACCGACATAAAACCACATGAGCTAAATGTGGAGTCCGATGTATACGCCCCATCAAGAGGACCCAATATACCCGACCAAAGGTATAGAGGCATGACTGGCATGATCACTAAACTGATGTTGCCCACAGAGGGGACTTACACCTACGTGGCTCGTAGTTCTGGGACAATATGGGTACGCTGAAACGCTAGTCCAACTCGGTATTATGCTACTCCCAATAGATTAAGTGGTTAACACATTATGACCGAGTTTCTGTAAATACTGGATAGCTCAAAACTGAACATGCAAACTGAGAATGCAACAATTAATCTGATAATGATACATTCATAAACTGAGGCATGTAAAACTGAATAATGAAATATCTGACCTAGCATGTGTAATTCAAGAACTAAAGAAATACATAGCTAGGGTTCTGAAATTCATGCGATAAACTGAGCAATAACATGATAATCTGATTTGGAACATTTAAATAACTAATTCATGATGATCTGCTATAATTCTAGAAACCCTAGGTCTGTTCATAATCATGGAATCAAGAATCTGACTGAATTCTAGGGACCTAATGGAAGGAACCCACTAGTGAAATCCCACATACCTGGTGACGAATTCCACGGATAAATCTTTCGATTTTAGGGCTGGAACTGAAGGAAACTTGTTGCATTCTTGAACTAGGGTTCTTGACCTCTTTTCTCCTCTTAGCGTTCTAATTCTTGTAAGTTTGATTAATGATTTGACTTAGGTAAGCTCTAGTTATGTTTCTAGGTTTAAACTGATTAAAATCTCATGATTTAGGGTCTAAACGACGTATCTTAGGGGTTAAAACGAAAAAGGAAAAGACCAAAAGACCCCTGAATTAACTGCTGTCGGAGTGACTGACAGAATGGACTGACGGTCCGTCAATCAATCGACGGTCCGTCGATTGGGTCCGTCGATCGAGTCTGCCCGATAGGGCTTCACTAAAACGGGCATAACTTTTTACTCGGATGTCGAAATTTAGCAAACTCGGTGGCGTTGGAAAGATAATTAAATTATCTATCATATCATAGGTCATGGGACATATAATTCATTTTGTGCTAAGAGTTATGACCATCTGAAGTTGATCCATCAATATTTTTCATCTAACTAGCTGCTAACCTCACCTACGATCAGACCTACGAACCGTGGTCTGATCTACGGACCGTGGGTCTGTCCGTGAGTTGGGACTTAGCCAATTTTCTGAGCTGGTTTGGGGAGGGGTTGCAGTGGTGAACCACGGACCACTAGCACAGGTCGTGGTCTGACCTACGGTCCGTGGATGGTGACCGTAAGTTGCACCTGCAACTTCTAAAAATCTGCATTTTTGTTTGTTTTGAATACGGGATGTTACATAAAGAGTCTCAAGTTTCAAGTTAAGTCAATAGTTTAAAGTTGAGTTCATTTCTCAAAAGTTATTAGGGAACTAAGTATTCCCAAAGAAGATTCTAAATGTTTTTGCATTTGAGTAAGAAAGGAACTATGATTCCAAAAGAGCCTTTGGGCTAGTTTTCAAGAAAAAGGAACATCGATTCCAAGTGAGCCTTTGGGCTAGATTTTGAGCAATTATCTCAAACTAAAGAAAGATGTGTTTAAAACACTTATGAGCTAAAGTATTTTTGGGAGTAGTCTTGAGCACCGAATTGGGGACACGAGTTCATATTAACTCAACTCTCCATAAGAACCATGTGGCCAACATGGGATTTCTCGGGTCATACTTTTTAGATGATCACGAAAGTTAAGCTAGTGGATCCACTTAGTAAAGTTAGATTCCTATATCACGGTAAGGTATAGGATGGTCCTTGGGCAACGTGAGGTAAAACGTTGTATCACTACTTAAGCATGTAGTGGTGGTTGTCGGTTAGAGAACTCCCACAGTAGAAATTACATGGTTCCTCGAGGAGTTCTGCTTAGTGTGGATGGGGGTATGAGACTTCATTCATGCATTGCACAAGTAGACTTTGAGAGGAAGCATGGTATTTTTATGATATTATAAATATGATTTTGACGTCATGTTTTAATAGTTTTACAAGCTTTATATATTGCATGTGTCTTATTGCTTTATATTAAGTTCAGTTAGTCATGAGTTGAACAGAGCCAAGGTAAGAGTTCTTTTGTACTCCTTTCAAAGCTTAAGTTGTGGTTTAGCTTTCCAGCTCGCATACTCGTACATTCAATGTACTGATGCCAGTTGGCCTGCATCTTACGATGATGCAGACACAGGTACCCAGGACCAGCATCCGGTACGCCGTTGATTCAGCTGAGTATTCCAGAGTCAGTGGTGAGCCTCTTTGCATTCCGGAGGACTCGGTTATTTTGTTCTTTTAGTTTTGTTTTATTAGGATGTTGTGGGGTCTGTCCCAACATCCATCTCAGTATTTTAGAGGCTTCATAGACAGTCAGTTAGATAGTTTTGAGTCTCTCATCTATGTATATATGTAAATATTCTATTTTGGGACTCGAGTTGCCTTTTTGGGCCAGACTTTTATCAATTAATGTTTTATGTCCTTGCATTGCATGGAGTTATTCTGTTGGGTTAGGTTTCCGCTGAGTTAAGAAAGCCAGGCAAAGGGTTCACTTGGGGCCAGCAATGGTCTT